TGATTGTTTGTAATCATCATAATGTGGATGTTTGAAATCATCACAATGTGTTAGTGGCAGTGTGGGTTTGGATTTTTCTTGAGGGTATAGTTGTGAGTGTGGGGTTGGACTTTTGTTGATGGTATGGTCGTGTTGCGCCATTCAATTAGGATGCTTGTCATGCTGTTGTCAGTCGGTGTGTTAGGGTGCGTCCTCCATTTGGGGTCCCCTGTATGTGTGGTAATGGTTTGCAAGTGTATTTTATGGTGTTTGATCATACCTCAAAAAATAAAAATGTTAGACCAAACAGGTAACATCACCCAAACAGGTAACATCACCTATCCCCCAATCACTCCACGAAATCTCCTAAAACAATAAAAATGTTAGACCATACCTTATCTACACACACCCAACACCAGGGAACAATCAAAATGAAATCACAAATAAGGGCAAACAAGTAAATTCTAAAATCACTAAATCAAATAAATATAACATACCATAAATAAAAAGGACTATTTGGTTTATAAAAAAAATCTAAGACTAAATGGACTAACATTTCCCCATATAAGATTTATGAGTAATTTTTTCATATAAAAATCCGTTTAATATATATACCTTCATGTGAAAGGTTAAGTATAAGTAATATCTTCATTTAATTTTATATTATTATTGTTTTTTTCCAGGAAATATTGACATTTTAGAAATAGAATTTGGTTGAGAAATAGGATTTAAATTGATGGAAATGAATGAATAAATAATTTTTATACCTGAAAAAAAAAAATTAGTTGTTAGAGAATATGACAATCTAAAAACATAATCGTTCAAAGAATATGATCATTTGAATATACCTTGTAAAAACATTATTTTTAAAAAAAAATTAAATAATATATTTAAAAAAAATTATATTCACAAATGTCACGTGGTCACTAGTTGTATATATGTAATATGACATAAATAAAATAAAAAAAATGTGTTTTTTATTTTATGTTTACAAAAAAAAAAATTAGTTTACTTAGTTTAATCAGCTAAATCATTTCGGTAAAATAAAAAACATGATTTTATGTGTACTTTTGCTAAACATTTTGTCTAACATGATTAGAGTTCCAAAAAAAAAAAAAAAACCCGTTTCAAAGAAAAATATCATAGAGGGGTAATTTCTGAGGCTAAACCCTATAAGGAGCTAAGGTTTCAGATGTCACCCTTAGGTGATTGATACATAATAGGGCCACTCAACTATATAGCAATAAGTCACGGACTCATTCGTATATAGAAATTCGAACTTACACTCTTAACACTAGGCACGATTTGTCTAGATCTGAAAAGTTCGTCTTATCAATCATATAGTCTTGACCAATGAGAATGAAATTGTCCCAAGCCCACCAATTAATTTTTCTTTCAAAAGAGAGCTACGAGAGCAACTCTAATTTATGAGAGATAATATAATAACATTAAGAATAAGGAAATTAAATACAAAATTAGATATAATTCTCTCATAAGAGGTGAGTCTCATATATAGATCTTATACATATGGACCTCACCCTTTGTGACAGAATTATGTTCTATTCTGTATTTAGTTTCTATCCATATAAATACTCTAATAAGGCTTAGTTTGGGAAGACTAAATAAGTGTACTTTTTGACTTTTTATGAAATATGGGTTGGGTTTGGTTTGGGTTTGAAGTGATGTGTTAGAGAGGTGATGCGACTTAAATAAGATAATGTGACTTAAATAAGATAGTAACTTTTTGACTTTTTATCTTTTTTTAATTATGCCAAACTTAACCTAAATATAATATATTGAATGGTGTGAAATGTTACTCTTAAACTACTAAATAATCACTCTTTTTGAAAAGTTCAAATAAAGATATACTTTGTAGCCTTTCTAAAAAAGAAAAAAAAAAAACAAAAAAAGATATACTTTGGAGAATTAAGAGCAAGGAAAAAAGCACATTCATTATCTGCGGTGGTGACATGCGCTGGCCCATAATTGGACACCTTTTCTAGCCTTATCATTATCTTGTTGTCAAATTACGAAAACACCCATGGTATGATCATTTCCCATCATATGCCTCCCCCTAATTGAATGTGGCTTTATTCGAACTTTCACCCTTTGTAACCCCCCTAGACTGTGATATCGTGTGTCCTCACGTCAGTCATGGATGCTCCAATATAACAACTACCAGATGTAAATTTAACTTCATGTTTTAGATTATCGAATCCACATAAATTTATAAAAAAATAATTTTATAAAATAAATTATTTAAATTATTATTATTATTTTTGTCAATAAATAAAAGAGTAATTATAAATATAAAAAATATTTGAGAGTTTCTATTTACACCTAACAAATCATCAAACATGAAAGAAATAAGAGAATGTAAGAAATCTCTTGTATATTAATTGTGTCAGACAGTGTAAGAGGAGACTCCTATTTATAGGAGCTTATGGTTTACAACATCATTATGTTACATTACATTCATAGAGGAGTAATTTCTGAGGCTAAACCCTATAAGGAGCTAAGGTTTCAGATGTCACTCTTAGGTGATTGATACATAATAGGGCCACTCAACTATATAGCAATAAGTCACGCACTCATTCGTATATAGAAATTCGAACTCACACTCTTAACACTAGGCACGATTTGTCCAAATCTGAAAAGTTCGTCTTATCAATCATATAGTCTTGACCAATAAGAATGAAATTGTCCCAAGCCCACCAATTAATTTTTCTTTCAAAAGAGAGCTACGAGAGCAACTCTAATTTATCAGAGATAATATAATGACATTAAGAATAAGGAAATTAAATACAAAATTAGATATAATTCTCTCATAAGAGGTGAGTCTCATATATAGATCCTATACATATGGACCTCACCCTTTGTGAGAGAATTATGTTCTATTCTGTATTTAGTTTCTATCCACATAAACTTGCTCTAATAAATATAATATATTGAATGGTGTGAAATGTTACTCTTATACTACTAAATAATGACTCTTTTTGAAAAGTTCAAATAAAGATGTACTTTGTAGCCTTTCTAAAAAAGAAAAAAAACAAAAAAAAAAGAAAAAGAAAAAAAAGATTTGGAGAATTAAGAGCAAGGAACAAAACACATTCATTATCTGTGGTGGTGTGCACTGGTCCATAATTGGACACCTTTTCTAGCCTTATCATTATCTTGTTGTCAAATTACGAAAACACCCATGGTATGATCATTTCCCATCATATGCCTCCCCCTAATTGAATGTGGCTTTATTCGAACTTTCACCCTTTGTAACCCCCCTAGACTGTGATATCGTGTGTCCTCACGTCAGTCATGGATGCTCCAATATCACAACTACCAGATGTAAATTTAACTTCACGTTTTAGATTATCGAATCCACATAAATTTATAAAAAAATAATTTTACAAAATAAATTATTCAAATTATTATTATTATTTTTGTCAATAAATAAAAGAGTAATTATAAATATAAAAAATATTTGAGAGTTTCTATTTACACCTAACAAATCATCAAACACGTCTAATTTCTCAATATATTCTATTAAATTATTTAAGGTTATAATTTAATTTTGATAAACTATATTTTTTTTAATCAAATTATCTTTCAAAGTATACCCCTTTAATAAATAAATCTCAAATTACACCACTTTAAAAAAAATATTTTAAAAATCCAGGAACGACCATGTACAGTTGGATCTATAGCGCAAGTTCGTCGTTGTGGCATGTGATGATGAAAAGTGTTGTGCATTCAGTATATATAAAATCTTATGATGCACTCATTGATATTTTGAAGGTAGTCTCAGAATTAAGCAACTGATAAAAAGTATATTCAAATTGACCCTATTTCTTAATATTAATTATTTTATTTGTGTGAATTTATTCGATGATCTTCTACATGAAAATAAAAATATGAAAGTAATAGATTTGTAATGATTTCACAATGAAGAATACTTATACATACCATGAGGGGAAAAAATTTATTTTAGGATTTAATGTGTATTGTCTTTATTAGTAAATTTACATTATAATATAATATGAACTAAAATTTAGTTGGACGTACTGAGTTATTATTTGAGTACAAATAGAATCAACGAAATATTTATATTATCAAACAAACTATTAGTCTATAATAACTAGAAAGTTAACAAAGTCTAACAACCAATAAACCACATGGTCCAAACCCAACACAACCACCACTAAGTACACAAGTCCCATAATGGAGAAGAGATAAACCATCATAAAAGAGTATCAAACTCTTCTCCATAAAAGTTGAACTCAAGATCTCATACCACAAAACTTGTTACACAACTACTAGGCTAAATATCCATGTTAATGATTCAAATTATTAAAAGGGGACTTGTATAGTAAATTTCACAAGCCCGAACATAAATTTGAATTTAAAAGAAGTCTACGCCATAACAAATAGGAATCCACTTCATATTTCATCTCTCCAAATCTCTTTATATTCTATTTATGAACCCCAATTCCAACACAAAAAATCTAAATCATCTATTTCATAAACCTCACAATAAAAATTTTCCATACACAAAATCAATTTCATGAGATAACTATCGCTTCTCAATAATTCAATCATGTATTTACGTTCGTCTTTCATTTTTTCGATGTTTACTAACTATTAATGTCTTACTCATGATTTTAAACATAGACATTTATTTATTTATTTTCATTTTGGCAGCTAGCAATCTAAATTAATGGGCTAATGGTAATTGACTAGTTGATGCATATACCAATTGAAAAATATAAACATGTAAAGACAAAAATAACAAATAAAAATCCTTTTGACAAATTGTTTGTCAATAAAATCAATTTCTTTTCTTCATCTTTAACGGTCATTTAATTTATTTATTTTTTAATTTAGATTAAGAGTCCGTAGAAATTAAAAATTGCATGAAAATTTAAAAAAAAAAAATTCTACTCACGTGTGCCATCAGCCAAAATATATAGTATGCCACAAAATGAAACCAAATATAAATATTTTGTGGTGATCAACATGACAAATCAAAAAATGTAAAGGTGCAGTCTGTTATCCACTTAGGTTTACACTTATATTCTTATTAAGTATACATAATCATAGGTCCTTGACTATGGTATATTGGGACTCCAATATTTCATCCCAAGTTTCACAACAAGAGCAATGTGAATCATGCTACCTCCATTATTGATGAAAGTTAGGGTGAAATTGCATAACGTGAATCATGCTACCTCCATTATTGATGAAAGTTAGGGTGAAATTGCATAACTTGTCAAATATTGTTATTAGAATGAAGAAGAAGAAAGAAGAAGAAGAAGAAGAAGAAGAAGAAGAAGCCGCCTAATGCTGGAAGCCTTGTGAACCATAAAAAATATACATTTCACTATTCGTGGGACAGAGCGATAGCTGGGGGGAAAAATAATAGATAATAACTATGGGGAAAGAAGTAGAAATTGGATATTAAAACCTAAAAAAACAATCCTCTTTTCAATCCGGGGCTTCTTCGCTACCTTTTCCAGGAATCTCTAAGCTTTGTTAAGTAGTGAATTTCACTGAATCTTCATTTCTCAGCTTTGGTCAAAACCCAAGTGCAAGAGATTTCACTCAACCGATGATTCATTCGTGGAGAGTTTGAAAGCTCTGTTAAGGACTAATGGCGTTACTTGAGCCCGAGCATGCTTTACAATTACTTCACATCTTTCTTACCTAAAAATGAAAAAGAAGAAAAACAAGCATGGTTGTTGAGTTGGCTACAATGATAATAAAATACACGTTTTAGGCACAAAATTGTACACGTGATAATAGACATAATGCTCCCTTCAAGGGGTGATTAAAATTGATTATTGTCAAGTCATCAGCAAGAACATAGACTAAAAAAGCTTAACCTGTAAAGGCTGAATAAATGTGGAAAATTCAAAAACAGAAAATTTTATTCTATTCATTATATTATAGTAGTTTAATATGAGTTTTTACCTCTTTGAAACCACGATCTTCGAACTGCTTGGCGCATGTGGCGCTCATGCCTTTCTAAGAGCTCATCAACTCTACACGACTGAGATAACAAGGGTCCTGAAAATTCAACCTTGTCTCCTTGATCTTGGCAAACCTGTCTCAAGTCCAATGTGAAGAAGGTTTTAAGAAATTTGAGTCAATAGATGATATAGAAATGTAAGGTGGTCTTGAACCCTATATCTTTTTATTTCACTCAACCATATCATAAGACTGAATGATATATTAGCCAAGAAAAGCATAACTCGCTTGGAGCTTTATAATCAGCACAAATGGGACAATTTCAGGCGATATGGGACACATTCTAACAGGAAGACCCTTGTAAACCTAAATCTAGATATTGGGATATGCATTCAAAAGTTGGATATAGGTACGGTGATGCGTCATGGATACTTACATGGATTGCATATTTGTATTTGAAATTAAATAAAAATTAAGGAAAATATAGAATTTCTCTCTCTCATCCAAGTGAGAGACTAGAAATGCTTCTTCACTAGCAAATGTTAAACTTCCAGTGGTTTCAATTTTGCTAGGAATTTCAAGCCATATAGAAGTTTGACAATGTTCAGAGCTTCTCCACTAGAAAATTGCAATACCAAAACCAAAATTTCACTTCAACTCTAAAAAAAATTGACACTGGTGTAGAAAACACAATTAAAAATCCCAGAACGTTTCAAAAAAACTATGAACTTACCAAGCTGATTCTCCTAGCTGCCATCTCCTCTCTTTGATAAAGTGCCAGCGACAATTCTTGCGAGTGGTACCCATCAGAAGCAGCATCAAAAGAATCAGGTCGTTCTAATTGGCTCCAATGTTTCGGCATTGCATGCTTGACGGTCTCATACGAATCTTCACCCTGAGAGCTGGCACGACTTCCACGTGCACCCTCGACATTTTCACGGTTTTTTAAGTCAAAACTATTCTTCGGATGCATTGCAGCTGAAGGTTCAAAAATAAGGCTTCTTGAACTAGACCTTCCGCGTGATCTCTCAGATGAATCATCTATTCGCCTTTTTGCCCATGCAAAACCACTTGACCCTGAAACTTGTAATGGAGCCGAATAGGGAACGTCCCCCTGAGATGCATTCTTTATGTGGGAAGCCTCTTCCACAGAATCGATTGATAGTTTAGGCTCTCTCTCCTTGTGATTATATACTTTATTACCATTGATTTTTTGGGCACCTTGAGTTTGGTCTGGCAAAGACTGCACACATGTAATCCGTTAATAGATGAAATAAGCTTCCCTTAAAAAATACAGTAAATATAGTGCACACAAACAGGTAAAAGTCCAAGCATTTAGTTTTTAGATATCGATTTATATATGTATATATATATATATATATAGAGAGAGAGAGAGAGAGACCTCTGTTGGTGCCAATTTATTGATTCCATTTGTCTTTTTAGTTAGCTTACTTCTAGTTTCAGGTCCTCGGACTCTCCCACCAGGCCTCTTCCTGAAAATCCAGAGTAAGTGAGTTATGATTCTTGAAAGAAAACACCGTGATCTACTTTAATTACAAAATTTATAATCACATCCAGTGGACACGCCAGTTATTGGGACATCTGACTGGCTCTTGATAATTGGCCTCAAAATTGTAAGTTTGTAACTGTCTACAAAAGGTTATTGAAGTCAGTCTTTGTTGCACAACTGAACACTAGAAACTGTACCTCTGTGCATCCTCACGATGTTTGGCATCAATCTCTTTACTTGGTGGATATTTTGGCATGCTTGACGGATCACATGCGTAAGGCTTGGTTGTGAAATACTGAGGATAGCAAGTAAAAACATAGGCATTAATCAAAGTCTTAGTGATGTAAGTGAAGCTCAACCACAAAGCAGAGAAACAAATTTCTGTACTTGCATTTTGCACTTTTGTCGGTGTAATAAAAAGGGTATTGCATGAGAACAAGAGTTTTTTGTTTCACTTCATAGAACAAAAAAGATGCATGGACACTAGTAAGATACTCATATCATGCATAAAAACTATATCTGTGACACATACGGATTGTATAGCCATATTATGCAATTAAAGAAGACATCAGTTTGTTAATTTACTCTCTGCAAAACACTCCATTCTGTGTTAGGACCTGTTTGGTGTAACATTTCTCAAGCTGAAAACAGATAATCAAAAAGCAAAAGCTAAAAGCTAAAAGCATCCCTTCCCCACCTTCCACATAATCAGCTTTTTTCAACTTATTTAAGCTATTCCAATCTCATAAGCTATAAGCAGAAGTTGCACCAAATATTCCGGCATTGATTCCCAAACTGAGAAAAATATATATACATATATATATATAAGTAGCTCTATAAATTGCACCAAACAGGGCCTTAATACCTCAGATGCAAGAGCAGAAGAGGCAGTCCCACGCTTGTATGGTTCCACAGATAAAAAAGTTTCTATCAGATCCACAGCAGTTGTGGGTAGATCTTTGAAGGTCTCCCAAAGAGAGCATTCATATGGATGCTGGGGCTTGAATAGAGTCGCGTGTGGAAGTTTAGACTTTTTCCAGTAATCATCAGGTGGCGATCCACAAAGCTTGAAAATTTTGTGTAATTGTTCAACCTGTAGGTGAAACAAGAATGTTTCTTTAGAACTTCAATGAGCAAAAAATTTAAATTCAAATACTTTAACATCTATATATTGCAGTGACAATTGTGTATAGTTAAAAACAAAAACAAAAAAATTTGCCATTTTAACTCACTTGTTTGATCGTATAGTAATGATTACCATTGCATACGAAAATCAGAAAATCATTCGGTAAGATCATAGGCTATTGATTACCTCAGTTCTGCCCTGAAGGATGGGTCTCCCAAGAAGAAGTTCAGCAAATACACAACCGACACTCCAAAGATCCACATAGGCTCCATAATCCGTGGAACCCAACAAAAGTTCAGGAGGACGGTACCATAAAGTGACAACTCGACTAGTTAGAGGTTGTCTGTGCCCCGAAGGACCAGAACTACAGAAATTTGCCAATCCAAAATCAGCTACTTTCAAAACTCCTTCATTATTTACCAGAAGATTCGCACCTTTAATGTCCCGGTGCATTATGCCCCGAGAGTGGCAGTGCTCCAGTCCCGACAACAACTGTTTCATGTAGCATTTAACCTACAAAAAATAACCGATTGAATCTTATAATGTGGAAGTAACAAAAAGTTAACTCATCCAGTGGAAAAACATTTGAAGGAGTAGAAACGAAAGTAGTCCATTTCTTAGCATTTTGAACGAGTGTATATCTTTGTATGTCTTTCTTGGGGTTAATTACACTAAGACCTCCTCAACTATTTGCGAATATCATCTTATCCCTCTCATCTATAAACCCGAACACTTTGACTCCCTCAACTATAAAAATGCATTACTTTCACCCCCTTTCACAAGGGGCTATCTGTATGATTTTCAAAGTTGAGGTGGTCAAAGTGTACATGATCATAAATAAGGAGAGTAAGTTGATATTTGCTAATAGTTGAGGAAGTCTGGGTGTGATAACCCTTTTTCTTAAGACCCGTTTGTTTTGGGAGATGGTGGAGCGATTGGGATTAGGATTGGGATTGAGATGGAGAAGGGACCTATTAATGTTATGTTTGTTTTGAGAGATGGAGAGGGAATTGAGATGGAGGTGAGGTCCCGTTTATTTTCAGAGGTAAAATGGAGGGGATTCATAGCGAAGGGATTAAGTAAAATTGTGTTTGTTTTGGTAATAGTTGTTAGTGTAGGAATTGTTAAATTATTTTTATATAAAATAATAAAACAAATAAAAAAATATAAAAAATTAAACATTAATGTTTTTTTTTAAACATTAATGTTTAATTTTTTGTATTTTTTGTTAAGTAAAAATTATTATTTTATTTGTTTTATTTTTTTCTACAAATTTTTTATTTATTTTTTATTTTTTAAAATTTTTTTACATATTGGGCATTTTTTTTTTAACATTAATATTTGATGTTTTTGTATTTTTTATTAAGTAAAAATCATAATTTTATTTGTTTTAATATTTTATATTTCTTTTATATGATAATAATTTAACAATTCCTACCCTAACAACTATCATCGAAATAAATACAATTTTACTTAATCCTCTCATTATCAATCCCTTCCATTCTACCTCTGAAAACAAACGGGTCCTTAACATTCACTATCATTTTTCCGAATTCTAGTATATAAGTTTCGGGCTTCCTTTCATAGCAAATGTCAAACATGTTGAATTCACCCATGTGTGAAAGGGGTGATCATCCAAGTCAAGTTTGGTTGGCAACAATGGGAAGGCATTTTTTATTAAGTAAAAATCATAATTTTATTTGTTTTAATATTTTATATTTCTTTTATATGATAATAATTTAACAATTCCTACCCTAACAACTATCATCGAAATAAACACAATTTTACTTAATCCTTTCATTATCAATCCCCTCCATTCTACCTCTGAAACAAACGGGTCCTTAACATTCACTATCATTTTTCCGAATTCTAGTATATAAGTTTCGGGCTTCCTTTCATAGCAAATGTCAAACAAACATATTCAATGCTACTGAATCCAAACTTTGTTTGCTTATACTATGATATGCAGACAAAATCACAAATTTCTAGAATAAAATAAACAAATGCAACTCGAGCGAACCTGTGATTCACTGAAGCTGACATCAGGGCAAGACAAGAGTCCAGAAATATCATGTTCCATGTATTCAAATACAAGGAATATGCTACATGATAATCGGGAGGTAATTAAACCCTCCAACTTTATGATGTTTGGATGGTCAAGCCTGCGTAGAATCATTATTTCCCGTGCCATAAACCGAATGCTTTCTGGCTCAAAGTTGTCAAATCGCACCTTCTTCAGTGCAACTATCCTCCCAGTTTCTAAGTGTCGTGCTCGGAACACACTGCTATACGTACCCTGTCCAATCTGCCAATGCAGTTGAAATTGTTTCAATCCTTGCCAGATAACCAGTTTAAACATTTTAGGACCAAACTTTAAAATTTATTTAAAAGAATGATCCAACAAAAAATACTTATGCAAAAATAAATTATTAAATTTGCAGTAAAATGGATGAGTATAATGGAAAATATAATAATCATCAATTTAAAATGTTTTGATTGGCCTGAGGACAGTAACCTTGTATTGACTTTCTCCTTGTTAAAAAAAACATCCGGGCATCTGAAGAAGGAACTCTCAAGATTGGTCTCGGAATCAGTTAATGAAAACATAAAATAAAATTAAAAAAAAAAAAAGTGACCTAGTGCATGAGAAAGGACTAAAAACTTTTTATTTTTTGGCATTTTCAAAGGGCTTTATGAACAGAAGAACTAGGCAGTAAATAAATAGGAAGCTCAAAAAAAAAAAAAAAAAAAGCATTTCTGTTTCTGGCAATAAGAAAAGAATTTTCTGTGAATAACAAATTTGTGTAAAGACTAGAAAAGGCCACCTAGTGCATGAGAAAGGACTAAAAGCATTTTTGTTTTGCATTTTAAAATGGTTTTATGATCAGAACTAGGTAGTAAATAAGCCCAAAAATTAGACTTACATTCTTGACCAGTGTATCAAGAAGATGATAACATTGGGTTTAGAAAGTAGGTCTAAACAGGAGACTTGTATATCATTTTCTAATAAATAGTAAGCTCAAAATTTGTGAAGTTATTAATCATTTCAGAATATGAATAGACGTGAATCGCCAGAAAAAAAAAAAATGCACATACTTGCATGAATAACAAATATAGAAGGATGGATTACAGCACATGAGATATGAAATAATTTCGAGGCGCTTGAATAAAACATATCTATAGTTCGTAATTCATAATGAAGCATCAGGATTGTAAAACTATGAATAACATATGGATAGCAACAAGTCAGTCCACGGAGACAAAGGAAAAACCAGACAAAGTAAAATAAAATAAAATTGGACAAAAATCCTTGATACCATACCCAAACAAAGTAAAATCTACTCATACACCAAATGGAAATTAATGATATATGATGTTTCTTAAAAATTGCAGAGACTTCAAGTTCAAAAAGAAAAGCCCAATAAAAAAGCACACTCAAATTAACTTAGAAATTACTAGAAATTTGAGTATAGTTTTTTTAATCAAATAATAATAATAATAATCCTTTCAGTCATTATGCAATTTGATTGTGTGTTTAAAAATTGAACATTTTCAATTTGAGCACAAAATGCATGAACCTTTTCAAGCTTTTCAAATGAGTCAGCACTAAGAGGCACCCAACCATGAATGGCTTCGCCGGCGACGGTACTAAGCCACGCCGGCCAACCGGCGGCGATTTGCTCTCCCTCCACCACATACTTCTTCAAATTCCCCAATCTAAAGCTCATTGACTCACCACCACCACCACCACCACCATTAGAACTCGCCCTCCCTGACTCACCCAACTCGCTCCCACTCAACCCCGACTCACTCCTCTTCTTCTTCTTCTTCTTCTTCTCCAACTCCCCCACCCCACTTCCCCTGCTCCGACCCGAACCGGCCACCGCATTGTCCCGAAACGCCCCGGAATGGTCAAGAGCAGGCGTCACAGACACCGCGTGCTTCGAGGTCACACAACCCATGAACAAAAATGGTCACTGAACCAGAAACATTGATTGAGTTTGAGTTTCAACACAAACCCAGATCAAGAAACAGGTAAATTGAGGTGGGTTTTATAGTTTTCACAACAATTCGCAGCACAAATAGTGATTTGAGAACACAACCCATGAACCATTGGTTGAGTTTCAATCCAACCCATGAAGAAAAAATGGTCACTGAACCAGGAACATTGGTTGAGTTTGAAGACAAACCCAGATCAATAAATGGGTAAATTGAGGTGGGTTTTCGAGTTTTTCATAGCAATTGCAGAGCAAATTGTGAATTGTGAAGATAGCTTATATACTTATACCCAAAACCCCACAAACCCTTACACAGTACGATCAATCTATTCTTTGTCTGTCAACTTTTTTCCTCACCCTTTTTGTTCAATTCCGCGAGAATTGCGGAAGGTGGAGAGTATGAGTAGAAGGGTTTTAATGGGGGGATTTCAAAAACAAAGCAAAGCTGAGCAAAATCAGCGGAAAGATAGCTTTGTCTTGTGTTGTGGAGTTAATGCTGTTTGTCTTCGGAAAAATAATGAGCAATGGAGTTATTTGACTTGTGTGGAGAGAGAGAGAGAGAGTCTGGGCTGCGGCGGTGTCGTGAAGTTTTGGTTTCAAACTTGGAAGAAGATTGAAGTGAGACAAAGGGTTGGGTTGAGAGGGTGGTACAAATTCTAAGTTCATAATTTTCAGTTTGAAATAGGTAATAGAATATTTTTGTATTCTAGACGCGGACATTGTCTTCAACTTGTCAAAATTTCTTGTACCAAAAAAAAAAAAAAAAAAAGTTGAATTGTATGTATATAGATAAATATGCAATAATTAATGATTCATCCATGAGAAATTTTATTATACTTATTTTTATAAAATATATATAATACACACTTTTGAGAGATATACATCATAAGCTTTCATTTCAATCATATAAATTTTTTTTATTTGAATCAGTCCAGCAACTGGTTATCTCGGGACCTGAGCCTACGGATGTAGTGATGACACCTCAAAATATTCTTTTTTCTCTGATCAAAAAAATAATAAAAAAAACTGTCAATTATATATATTTCAACTGTAAAGGTTATGTAAATATAGTGATGCTGATATGCAATATTGTAATGTGGTGTATAACAAATTAACAGTAGGGAATAACAGCACAATGTTTAACAGTTAATTCACCCAAAAAAATGTTTAAAAGTAGGTCTCACCTCATCATTACATTCTTTCTGTACAAAAGTTAAAAAAATCAAAAAATTTATTCTAAACGAATGTCAGGTTAAAATAATCAAAAAACCAACCCACTTCCCAAACGAATCCATAGCGAGGTTACAAGTTAAGGCCAAGTTTGGCATCCTCAAAAAAATCTAAAAATTCAAAAAGTCACTATCCTATTTAAGCCATATCATCTTATTTAAGTCACATCACTTCTCTAACACATCACTTCAAACCCAACCAAAATCCAACCCATATTTCATAAAAAGTCAAAAAGTACACTTATTTAGTCTTTCCAAACTTGGCCTAAATATCCATTTTTAAAATTTTTGAATCAATAAGTTTAATTTTAAATTTTTTAAGAACATTGTTCAAAAAATATTTATCTATTCAAAATTTACCTATTTATCTATCTATTCAAATATCATTTATTTATTCAAATGTTCAACTATTTGTTTAATTGGAGAAATTATTTTTTGCTCCTAAGACAACGTCACGTGGTATTCTAACTCGATATTTATTAGTTGAAACAATGGGACCTAATACTCTTTGTTTGATTTTTAAAAATAACTTAACAAGTGTCAAGTGATAAATGATTTGGTTATTTATATAAAAACCCCATAAACTATTGAGAAATCTCACTTTGACTCCTTAAATTAAAAAAAGTGCAAATGTTTATAATTTAGAAGTTAAAGTGATATTTTTCAATAGTTTAGGGGTATATTTGTATACTTTTATAATTTAGGAGGTCAAAGTGATACTTCTTAATAGTTTAAGGAGTCTTCGTGTAAATAATCCTAAATGATTTGGGGCAATGCTCCAAGACCACTAAATAATCACTCGTTTAGATGTTACCTACATGTACACGTATTATCTATCTATTCACCTATCTATTTAATATTACCTATTTGTCCACCTCACTGTCACCAGGTGCTATCGCCGACAACTTTTCAATGCGGATCTTTATCTTTAAAAAATATTAACTTTGAATCAAATAACATATGGTTCTATAAGAATGAACTTTTTACCAATTAACCATTTTATTAATACTCCATGTTTATGCCTGTATCTATATAATTCTTTTATTTGTTTACACTTATAAATATGCTTATTTTTAAAAAAAATTTGTATTTATGATTTCTTTTTTTGAGATCTTTTGTTTGTTTTTGTTTATAGGGACTATTCTTGAGGTGAGCTATGTGTTGTTAAACTATAGTTTCAAAATTTTCTTATATTCGTAATTAATTTTTTACCGATTAGCAAAAAAAAAAAGAAAAAATCCCAGGATTAAACAAGAAAAATAGTGAATTTAGACATAGTTAGACCTAACTATGTGTTTTATTAATCTTTAAAATTCTTTTTTAATCTTGTTGGCCAATATAATTAAGGACAATTCATAATTTCACACAACTAGATTTTATTGTAAAGATTAAATGAGAAATTTCAATGTAAAAAAGTAATTAAAGTTGACGACTAAACACACAATTAGATCTAACCGCTCAAAAAACTTTTAGCCCAGGGCATTGGCTAATATAACTATACAAAATTATAATTTTAGACACTGAAATGCTAATTTATGAATTAAATAAGTAATTTTTAATGGCATTATATTGGCCAATTTTTAATGGCATTATATCCACTAAATCTAACACCTTAAATAATTGTTAGATTAGACTTTTGAACAATTTTCTCTGTAAAAATTTTATTATGCACACAGTATCGTCAAATTGTGTGTTTTATTTCTTTTTAAACCTTTTCTTTTAATTTTATTGAACAATATAATTGAACATAATTCATAATTTTATATGGATAGATCTAATTATCTATTTAGAAAAAAATAGTGAAATATGTTTCTCTAACTTTGAACAGTAGAAAAGATTCAATATATTTTTTTTCTTATTAGTTAACATCTCTCGATAAGACTAACCCACCCAACACTCTCATACATGCGATAAATTAAAAGAAAATTCTCAACTGATCTAAAAAAAAAAATTAAATAAAGAAAAAAATTTGGTGCCAATCAGAGTGTGTGGATGCAAAGTAGGAAAAAGGGCAAATTTTTTTTTTTTTTTTTTTAATTTTTTTTTAAAAAAATATAAAAAAATAAAGAGATAATATGATTCATGTGAGTTAATAAATCAATAAACTGACTTTTCCTAATTGCTAAAATAGACCTTTAAAAAGATCACTTTAAATTATTGTCAGATTTTTATACTTAGGTCTTGATGCAGAACCATTTTCTATCAAAAAGATGTAGGGTTCGTTTGGTTTGTATTTCTGAAAAATTTTTGAAATTTTTTTTCTACAAATAAGTTTTTAAAAGTAATCAAACCAAACAAATTTTGTCAAAAAAATTTCTCAAAACTTATAAACCAAACAAGTTTTTCAAACAAATCTCTCTCTCACACACATCAAATCAATCATTTTTTCTAAAACTCTCTCTCAAAATAATTTTCTAAAACATCTTTTAAAAAAAATCAAACCAAACAACTTTTCGTACTTTTTATCTCTAAAATACATCTCTCAAACACAAACCAAACATACCCGTAACGTTTCGATCACTTGCACTTTCTGGTTGTTTTTTTGTTGTCACTGTCGCTAAAATTATCAGATGAGCTAAAAAATCTGCAACAGTGACATTTGAAAGGCTTGCTGAAGAAGAAAATAATATAACATTATATTTTTTGAGTTATAATTTTAAAAAATTATGAAAAATTTATCCATAAGTCCTAGTTTCTGAAAAGTTGAACCATTTAGTCTTAAAAGTTTTCTTATGCTCCATTTAGTCCCATTTGCACATTAATCTAATGTTTGAAACATTAATCTGATGTTCGAAATCTAATGTTCGAAACATTAATCTGATGTTCGAAATCTAATGTTCAAAACATTAATCTAATGTTTGAAACATTGTAATGGGACATTTCAGTCTATAAGAAAATTTTTAGGACTAAACAGTGTATAAGTTATTAATTTGGGATTTATTGGTGCATCCCCCAAAAATTATATCTAAATACAAAGAATTCATAATTGAATGTCTTAAAATAATGTCATAAGTAAAAAAAAAAAAATTAATCATTATTAAAGAAGAAAATGACGTAATGATATACATATATATATATATATAGGTGCGTATAATAGAATTTTCTGAAGCAAACACGGTTGGGTTTCTAATGCTCTGTTATTCATACAAAGCAAATCGACAAGCTTTTTCCAAAGAGTCACACGCCAAAAAGGACATGCAATATGAATTTTTCTAAATTTTTCCGTGAAAGAGTTAAAATTCGTTTGTACCAAAATTTTTCTGTGCTAAAATTGTTTTGTAAAAATGTTGAGAGACTTCAACTATTATAAAAATATTACATGTTCTTTATCATATAAAATCTTAAAACCCCATCTATATAACTGTTAAGATTAAATAAATAAGTTAAACCTGAAAATGATAATTAACTCTCTTTTTAAAAAAAATAAAAATTATCTCCAGATCTAATTGTCAAATGCACTAAAAAAAAAAATAGAGATATATAGTTTGAGTTTCTTATTATTTCCCTTTCTAGCATATATAGTTTATTTATTTATTTATTTTTATTTTTGTATAATATATTGTGGGTTAATGGAACATGTTGACTATTGCGTTGCTTTTTTTTTTTTTTTTTTTTTTTTGAACTAGTGACTAATGCGTTCTTGATTAAATTATTTTGTGAGGAACATGAAATTAAACAATCATCATGAGCTGCTCAGGTGAGAGAAAGAGAGAGTTTTTGTTGTGGGAATTGCAAAATATTTATCTTAAATTAATTTTATACAATAATATCGAAAGCAAAACAGATTCTTTTTAAATAGATTTTCACAATTCAATATAAAACTATACATACAAATATATAACAAAATAAGTAAAAGATGAAAGAATTCAGAAAGTAGCCTGTGTGATTGTGAGAGGCACGTCAAAGACGCTGTCCTAAAGTCGTTATGCGCTCCCTCCGTGCAGGTTCTAACGATCACAAACGACTCCAAGATACAACCTAAGAATCCACGGGAATCTGATACAATGCACAGGTGTACTAGAAGAATTTGTCAAGAATGTATCAATTGCCCAGAAAATATGAAATATAAAATACTGTAAAGAGAAGAAGGAGGGAGAGAGAGATCAGAGTACGTTGTCTTTCTTTTCTCAATTAGAGTCCTATTTAAATAGGCTCTTTGGTATCTGTTTGGAACAGACACACCTTTTGATATAAAACTAAAACCAAAACCAAATTTAAAATTCAAATAAATAAGGCTATAAAAGAGAATAAATAAATAATAAAATATAATAATAAATAAAAATAATTAAAGTTTTGAAGCTTTTAGGAAATCTCCAACAGATTTGAGATAAATCTAAACAATGTAACAGAGAGGGAGTGGGACATAGGATTCAGATTCCTTTGCTCCTTACCTCCTCAAGTACTCTCTTCTGTCAGAAAACTATTACTTTCATCTTGTTTGGA